CTTAGGATATCCTGAAGGTGTTAAAGGTTATAGATTATGGCTTAGAAGTGTACCCGACTTTAAGGTCGTAATAAGTCGTGATATTGTGTTCAATGAATCTGAAATGCCATGTTTAATTGCTTCTTTGCCTGCTCCTTTACCTGATGAATCTGAAAATGCTCCAAATGCGGTGGAGCAATTGAGTGGTTTAAGTAATTTCGATAATTTTGAAAATATGCATGCTGAAACTGAAACTGAACGTGTTGTGTTTGATAATCGAGATGCTGAAATTGCTGAAACTGAACCTGTAATTGCTGAAACTGAAAATCAGCATGCTGAAAATGGTGAAAATGTCGATGTGCATGATGAATATGTTGAAAATGTGCCTGAAAATGATGTTGATTTGCATGATTATCAACTTGCTAGAGATAGGACTAGAAGGGATCGTAAGAAACCCTCTAAGTTTGATGATTTTCACATGACTTCATATGCTTTTGGTGTTTTCGAATCCATTGATAATTGTGAGCCTAAGTGTTATGAGGAAGCTCTTAAATCTGCGAATTCTTTGCAATGGATGAATGCTATGCGTGAAGAAATTAATTCGTTGCATGTGAATCATACTTGGTCGCTTGTGCCTAAACCTGATAATTGTTCCTTAGTGGATTGCAAATGGTTGTATAAGGTTAAACAAGAGAATGATTCGGTTAGGTTTAAGGCTAGACTTGTAGCAAAAGGTTTCACTCAACGTGAGGGTATTGATTATACCGAAATATTTTCTCCTGCTGTTAAATTCACCACCGTGCGTATCATGCTTGCTTTAGTTGCTCATTTTGATTGGGAATTAAAGCAAATGGATGTTAAAACTGCTTTCTTGCATGGTGAATTAGATGAGAAAATATATATGAAACAACCTGTTGGATTTGTGGACAATAAGAAATCTGATTATGTGTGTTTATTAAAGAAATCTTTGTATGGTTTGAAACAATCTCCTAGGCAATGGAACAAAAAATTTGATATGTACATGCTTTCTTTAAAGTTTAAGAGGAGTTCTTATGATCATTGTTTGTACTTTAAAGAAAATACAAATGTTCCTGTTTTTCTGCTCATATATGTTGATGATATGTTGCTGGTCGGTCCTTGTATTAAGTCTATTGAGCATGTTCAAAAATGTCTAAGTGATAAATTTGATATGAAAAACCTTGGAGATGCTAAAAGGATTCTTGGAATGAACATTATTCGTGATAGGAAAAACTCTGTGTTTTTTCTTAATCAAATTTCTTATGTGGAGAAGATTTTGAGTAAATTTTCTATGTCGTCCGCAAAGTCCGTGAACATTCCCCTTGCTGCCCACTTTGTGCTAAGTAAGGATCAGTCTCCTAAGACCGATTCTGAAATTGATTTGATGAAAAATGTGTCTTATTCAAATGCAATTGGTTTTGTGATGTATCTCATGGTTAGTACTAGGCCGGATATTGCATATGCTGTTAGTTGTTTGAGTAGGTACATGTCCAATCCGGGTATGCCTCATTGGGAAGCTCTTAAGTGGTTGTTACGTTACTTGAATGGTTCTATGCATGTCGGTCTAAAATTTTCTAAGTGTTCTGAAGGTGTTAAACTTGTT